ATGCAACCCCATGTCTTGGGAGGAGGGGCTGGTTCCTGTGGTTGTTCAGTGTCCCTGGCCTCTACCTCCCAGGTGTGGATCTCATTACCGCCTGTGATATCCGCTACTGTGCCCAGGATGCTTACTTCCAGGTGAAGGTGAGTTCCTAAGCTCCTGCCTCCTCAAGTCCCGCCTAGAGCTGTGCCATGAGTAGCAGAGCTGGGGCAGAGAAGGGACAGTACAGGCCAGTGGGGTTGAGGGGCCTGCAGTGAGCTCTGAGGGCTTCATGAAAGAGTTAGAGCTGAACCTTACAAAGGAAGGCTCAGCTGTGGAGGGAGTCGAGGACAGATGGTCCAGGTGAGGCCATGAGCAAGTAAAGGTGTGGGGGTGGGGATGAGGCTGGCAATGCCAGAGCCTGGGGTTGCTGCTGGGGTCATGCTGGAGAGGGTGGGAGGCAGGGTGGAGCCCACGCATGCAGTAAAAGGGTCAGGTGGGTCAGGCTAAGGACGGCTCCCTCTGGAGACAGACATGACTGGCCCTGAGGGTTGGGAGGCCAGAGGAGCTGGAAGGTGGGCTCTGTTCGAGACTGAAGGAACCTACGTGGGTAAAAGCATGATGGTGGGAATGGAATGGGGTGTTTGGAGGGAGTCACTGAGATGGGGGTGGGACCCCTGCAGTAAATGCAAGATTTCACTGACATGGAGGTTGCACGGGGAGCAATGCTGGGCAGAAATCAAACACTGACACGATTGCTCCCCGCAGGAGGTGGACGTGGGTTTGGCTGCCGATGTAGGAACGCTGCAGCGACTGCCCAAGGTCATCGGGAACCAGAGGTGGGTGGGTGGCAGGGAGGGGAGCCTGTGGGAGGGGACTGCAGGGCATCTTCCAGACCCAGGGTGACAGCAGACTCTGGTATGCCTTCCCCTCTTGCAGCCTGGTCCGTGAGCTGGCCTTCACCGCCCGCAAGATGATGGCTGATGAGGCCCTGGGCAGCGGGCTGGTCAGGTAGGGGCTGAGGCCACGGTGGTCGAGTGCTTTGGGGCAGCAAGGCCTGGCTGGGGCTCTGTGGGTGCCCTGGCATCCTTGCCCAGGGATTCCAAGTAGCGTCTTTTCTCTGAGTGGTCATTTCTTTGTTCGGGAGTCAGCACCCTGCTCTGATTAGGCTGTTTCGCTGGGCTCCTCTGCCTTCTACTGTGAGTGGCCGCTTCTTCACCTGTAGGAGAGAGGGGAGAGAGCCCTTCTCAGCTGCCTGATGCCCAGTCCCTTTCCTCGCAGCCGGGTGTTCCCAGACAAGGAGGTCATGCTCGACGCGGCCTTTGCCCTGGCGGCTGAGATCTCCAGCAAGAGCCCGGTGGCGGTGCAGAGTACCAAAATCAACTTGCTCTACTCCCGTGACCATTCAGTGGCCGAGAGTCTCAACTACGTGGTAAGCCGCTTCCTCCGACCAGTCGCGACCGTTCTCTGATCCCAGAGTGAGCAGTGGGGCTCAGCGGCCCGTCTTGGGCCTTGTCCTGGCATTGGTGCACTGCTAGTCCTCCCTACGCTTTTCAACAGCCCCGGCCCTCTTTATGCAGGCAACCTGGAATATGAGCATGCTGCAAACCAAGGACATCGTTAAGTCTGTCCAGGCCACAATGGAGAAGAAGGAACTGAAAAGCGTCACCTTCTCCAAGCTCTGAGAGCCCTGGTGTCCCAGGCGCTGGCTTGGGGCTGGCTTTGTCCCGCCTCATGCCCATGTGTCCTCATCGGCAGAGAGGGAGGATTGGTGAAGCTGGTCGTCTTGGTGCCTTCTCCCGTAGTCTCCCAGTTTATAAATTAATGACACTGATTTCCTGAAGCCCAGGGCCTTATCTTCAGCCTATGAACAATAAAGCAATGTAAAAAAACCCTGGTAGGCTTATTGGAGGGGAAGGGGGCTAAAATGCACCCGGGGGCTGCAAGGACCACAGTTGTGAGGGTTGGAGAGAGAGACTTAGCCGATGGGAACGGGTGGCATGCTGATGACCATTCAGACTAGCCTTGGACAGGTGAGACCAATGGAAAGTCTGGGAGGGACGGAACAGAGCAAAAGTTGCTTGTTCCCGCTGGGCTGAAAGGCCACCTGCAGTCCCCCTGCCTGCTCCTGGGTGGGGGTGGTGCTCAGCGGCCTGGACCTCTCTTGCCCAGGATAGTGGGAGCCAGTGCTGGAATCTGGCTGGGTTTCCACTGCCACCCAGTTTTCGGCCAGTTGCCTCGTTTCTTTAAGCTTTAGGTTTTCTTATCCATGTATAATCCCAACCTCCTGGGTTTATATTCGGAATGAGTACAAGAGACACAGCGTTAAGTTAGTGCTTCTATATACCAAGTCCTGTCCTCAGCATTTATTAACTTAGTGAATCCTTTCAAGGACCCTGTGAGGTTGAGAATCTCACTACCCCCATTGTACAGATGGGCAAATGTGCAGTTTGAGGGTAAGCTGCTGACCCAAGATCACATAGCCAGGAAGTGGCAGAGGCAGGATTTGAACCCAGAACTTCTGGCTCTGGACACTAGTGCTTTAAACCACTCTACATACAATATATTGTACATTGCAAAGATGTGCAGGGAGCATGCAATAAATCGAGACCCTTCCACCTTTCCTGGGAGAGTCAAGAACTCCCAGTTCCTCCCTGCTTTCTCCTGCTTCCACTACCCAGCTGTCCTGGACCACTCCTGCAGCCCGGCCCTGCCCTGCCCAACCTGCCTGGTCTCACCCTCCCTCTGCCAACAGAGGTCTGGGCAGGGTTTTATGGACTCAGATAAGGCTCCAGCAGGGCCGAAGTTCACTAGCTCTTCCTCTTTGCAGGAGGGCCCAGGGGAGGGGACCCAAATGATTTGGTCCTGGCTAGTCACCAGCGAGTCTGGTAAGAGAAGGGAGACTAGGGTGTGCTCTAGGAGAAGACGTGAGCCTGGGATCCCCAGAAGAGGGACCCCGTGGACTCTCCCCTGCCAGCCACTCCCTTCCCCTCAGGTATAAGAGCCACCCACTACCTGCCATCTGCCACCATTTCCCACTCCTGCAGCTCTTCTCACAGGACGAGCCACCAGTCCAGCCTCTCGAGATGGCCTTTGTCCCTCCACCAGGCTACCAGCCTACCTACAACCCGGTGAGATACTGGCCCAGGCCCTGGCTTTGCTCCACCCTTAACCCACACCAATTTACCCGTGCCCTGACCCTCAGGGGGCCACTTGACTCTGGGGTCTGATTTACCCAATATTGACCTTGAGGCTTGCTTTACTCCCACCCTGATGCTGAGGCTGTTCGTGTCCTCGGCCCTCTTCATCTTCACCCTGACCTCTCACCCTTAGTTTCCTTCGTCTCCCTTGCTTAAGGGACTGGGGGGCTCAGATGGCCTCTGAGCCCCCTCACCTGGCCTCTTCTACAGACTCTGCCCTACAACAAGCCCATCCCAGGCGGTCTCAGTGTTGGAACATCCGTTTACATCCAAGGAGTGGCCAGTGAGCACATGAACAGGTAAGACCCTCCCCTGCCAGGCTAGGCTGCTTCTGGGTCTGGCTGTAGGGGACCTTCTTGCCTTCCTCCACCCTGTTGGGGGAGGGGACTCTGCCAGCCCACCCGATGACCAAGGACCAGCAGGGCTGGGTGGTCAGATCAGGAGGGGGCATCTGGGGGCTGGCAGTAGTCAGGGAGGGCGCACCGTGAGAGGGGGGCCCTAGAGTTGGCACGTTGGGCTGGAACTCATGGGTATGGTAGCATGAATTCAGATCACAGCCTCCGAGACAGGCCTTTGAGTTCAAATCCCAGCTCTGCACTTTCCAGCTGTGTGAGGCAGCAAGCTACTACCTCTCTGTGCTTCATTTTCCCATCTGTAAAATGGACGTGTGAGGAGTCAACAATCAGTGAGAAGCGTAGAGTAAGTGTGGTAATAAGTCGTTAAGTCTTAGCTTTTCTTAGGGCCTTAAATGGTGATAATAATTGAACTGACCTCCTGGGGCTGCTGTTTCTTTATTCACTGAGCGCCCACTCTGCGCCTGGGCACTGGGGATACACCAGTGAACAGGACAGAGCCCTGCCCTCATGGAGCCCACATCCTAGGAGAGGAGACACATGAAAAATAAATAAGTCAATATATAATATGTCAGACGGTGATAAGTGCTATAGAGAAAAATAAGGAGGGAAGGAAGATGATGGGGAGTTTTAAGGGAGGACAGGGTGGCATTATCCCTTTCAATAGGGTGGCCAGGAAAGGCCTCCTTGCAAATGGAACATTTCAGCAAAGACCTGAAGGAGGTGGGGGAGGGTGCCTTGGGACAGCTGCAGAAAGGGCGCTCCAGGCGTGAAGAACAGCTGGTGCAAAGGGCCTGAGATGGGCGTGTGCCTGCCCTGTGGGAGTAACTGGGGGGGCTGGTGTGGTGAAGGTGCAGGACGCGCTGTGGCATGTGCCTCTGGCTGCATGTGCGGAATGGCCTGCAGAGGCCAGGAAGGGAGCAGGGAGACCTGAACTGATAGATGTCAAGTGCATAGGACAGGGTCTGGTCCACGGTAAATGCAGGAGCCCCTGTAGCAGTTGTAGTTGGAATCAGGGGAGAGGCTAGGGGAAGTGGCCTAAGAAGCAAAGGTGGCGAGTGGAGGGGTGGTGGTGGGAATCTGCCTTCTGGAACGAAGGGGCACGACCTCCCCTCCTCACTTGGATCAACGGTGCCAAGGTCACCCCTCAGAGCTGATGCTGAGGTTTGGGTCAGGGAACCCCAAGAGAAGGTGGGTCAGAGGAGGCCCTGCGCACTGACCAGTGGCACTGGGAGAATGAGCCCTTCCTGTCCCACCAGGTTCTTTGTGAACTTCACGGTGGGGCATGACTCGGGGGCAGACGTCGCCTTCCACTTCAATCCCCGCTTTGACGGCTGGGACAAGGTGGTCTTCAACTCGAAGCAGGGCGGGAAGTGGGGCAACGAGGAGAGGAAGAGGAGCATGCCCTTCCACAAGGGCGCCGCCTTCGAGCTGGTGTTCACGGTCCTGGCTGAGCACTACAAGGTCCGAGCCCCCCTCCCTCCTTGCCCATCTGCCTGCCTTCCCTCCTCCCTTCCTTGCCACCTCTCTCCTTCCTAGCTCACTTTTTTCTTTTCTTTTCTTTCTTTCCTGCATATTAAAGTGCTCTCTTATCTCTTCTCATCGTTAGCATCCCTCTACTGCTGGGAGCCTTCTCATTCATCTCCCGTATATTATCTTGTCCCTTTGCGTTCTTGCAAAATGTGTGCCTTTGCCAGTTCTTAAGGAGAACTCTGAACACACACCGCAGGAAGTGAGTGCAGTGGGCCCCGTGTCTCCTGCCCCCACAAGAGTTGTCACCTCAAGGTCCCTCTGCTTTCATCTCTACCTCCCATTTCCCCCTCCCATGTTACTTAAAAGCAAATTCCAGACATCACATCATTTCATTCCTAAATGTTTCTATTTCTAAAAACGTAATCACACCGGCCAGCCACCAAATAAGCAAATAAATAAAACAGTCTCGATGCCATTATCACACCTAAAAAGGAGCAGTTCTTCTTCATTCAGAAGAGGCGTCCTCTCGTGTCCTGTCCTGTACCAACTACCTCATACAAGCTGTAGTGTTTGTTGTTTTCTATAGTTTGTTTGAATTGGGGTCCAAAGAAGGCCCGCACGTGGTGATGGACAACTAGTATGTGCGTATGTTTTGAAGTTGTATTTAAGTGTGACCAGGTGGAGAAAAGTGCACACCATCTGTTTGCTGCTTTATGATAAAGAGAATACACCTGTATAACCAGCACCTTGGTCCAGAAACAGACCCTTAAAATCCCAAAGCCCTTTTGTGTCCCACCCAGTCCACTCTTTCCCAGGGGTGACCTTTATCCTGATTTCTCTCGGCCTAGATCTGTTTCTGTGCCTTTTATTAAAAATATGTCTATACTCAATGCTGTGCCAGCATTTTCTGTTTCTTTTCTCACTCATTGTGTTGTGTGTTGCTGGGATACACCTGGTCTGTGGCTTCTTGTGGCAGTACAGGACTCTCTGGCATATGCCCTCTGAGATTACCCTGTCCCTGCCTCGGGCTCCCCGTGAACAACGCTGCAGCAGACACCCTTAGGTATATTCCCATGTGACCCGTAGCGCAGTCTCCTGGAGGAGAGTGGCATGGTTGGAGAACCTACCTGGGCTGTACTTTCTGTTGTGTGGGCACCAGATTTCTCCCCTCATCACCAGAGGTTACCATCATGGTTTGGGGTTCAAGTGTGGGCTTTGCCTCTCTCGAGGTGTGGCCTCAAGCTGGTCACTCTACCACCCGTAGACTCCATTTTCTTGAACAATGGGGACAATCCCTTGTCCCGCCTCACAGAGCTGTTGAGAGAATGACCAAGTTGACATCACCATGTACAGCACTTAGCATGGGGAAGCACTCAGTCCTGCGGAGCTGGCTCCCAGCCCAAGACCCTTGCTTAGCACTGAGTAGAAGCTGTGGTAACTTTAAGCACACTGAGCTGTGACAAGAAGGCAAGGCTCTATGCTAGATTTCCACAGGCCTTTGACATGTTTTGCTGGATTTTCATCTTTCCAACAATCCCAGAGATGAGCAAGCCCCCATTTTACAGATGAAGAAACAGGCTCAGAAAGGTAAAGTAACTTACCTGAGGTCACACAGCCAAACCATGTCAGAGATAGACCTCAAATGCAACTCATTTGGTACCAGAACCAGAATTCAGACTTGGTTCTCTCCCAATCCCCATCCGTAGACTAAATTCTCTATTCTGTCCCCTTCACCAATGTGATCTGACCTTTGACCTTGGCCTCATCTCTCACCTGTGGACTCCAAGGTTCCTGACTCCCAGCTCATCCCCAAGACTTTTGACCCAAGTCAAAAAGATCCCTGTTCTCTGCTTCCTGTTCCTACCTAACCTCTTTTCCCTGCCCTCCAGGTGGTGGTAAATGGAAATCCCTTCTATGAGTTCAAGCACCGGCTCCCTGTAAAGATGGTCACCCACCTGCAAGTGGATGGCGACCTGGAGCTTCAATCAATCAACTTCATTGGAGGCCACCACCCCCCAAACCAGGTGTGTGGTGTCCCCTCCTTTATTTGCTTCCTTCCTTCCTTAATTCATCCCCACATCCATTGATTTCCCAAGCACCTACTCTGTGCCAGTCCTTTTGGTGGGTGATGCCAGGGACCCAGGAATGACCAAGACAGTCCACTGGGAAGACAGACCCATCACCAGGCAGTGATGGCTACAAGGGGTCAGGGCCGGGACCGGGAAGCACAGGAAGAGGGGTTGGGGCTGGGACAGGGTGGAGGGATATACTGGAGGTCCGGGAGTCTAAAGGAAGGGTGTGACCTAGTCATGGGGTCAGGAAGTGTGTAACTTTCAGGAAGTAAAGATAAGGAGGAGTAGAGAAGACAGAAATAGCAAACAGATACAGGAGAAGTTGCTTACCGTCACTAATCACCTGGGAAACCCAATTTAAACCACAACGAGCTACCCCTACGTGCCCAGCGGAAGAGCTGTGAGGGGAAGGGTACACAATGCCAGTCGTTGGTGAGCATGTGGAACAGCGCATGGCTGTTGGGAGTGTAAACTGGTACAAACACCTTGGAAAATGGCTGGGTAGCATCTGTGAAAGCTGAGCAAAGACATGCCACAGTGGCCCGGAAACTCCGTCCCCATTTAGGCAGTGGACACACAGCTGCCTGCACGTGCTCCCTGCAGCGTCCGCAGCGGCACGGCCTCTGCGAGCCCCGGGCAGACTCCTGCCTGCCCAGAGCAAACCCACGTAGCCATAAAAGAAGAAAAGCACAAGCGGTTGCTCAGGGATCTGGGGAGAGATGTGATAAAACCACAAGGAAAGGGAATTCCCTGTAAGCCTCAGTTCAGGTAGTGTTACCTGTGAGGAGGCAGGGACGGGGTGGGGAAGGCTGGTTTTTAGGGGCCTTCAGAATAGCTGGCTGAAAACAACAGTCAAAGAAGAGAGGAGTTAAATAGAAGGAGGAGAAGAGGAGGAAGCGGAGAGAAAGCAAAGGTGACGGACGAGGGAGGGGAAATCACCAGACAGAAGGAATCACCTGTTTGCAGGTGGCTGAGGGAGGAGAGAGAGACAGAGAGGAAGAGAGGGAGGGAGGATCCGAGACAGAGGCAGAGACGACAGACAGAGACTGAGACAGGAACAGACACGCGCACATACGCCCGAGAGCGCCGGGGACAGACTCAGAGCCACAGGGCCCTGGTGGCGCGGGACTGCGGGGCAGCCGTGGTGGGAGCTGAGATGAGCGGGGTATGGAGTGGGCCGGGGAGAGCTGCTGAGGAGCTTGTACTTCATGGTGCGGCCCTGGGCTGAGCGGGGAGGAGAGGGGTGGACAGGGGCCCTGCGACAGCAGGAAGACAGCACAGGGGAGGGCAGAGAACAGAACTTAGCAGATGTTGTCCTAAAGCCGTGGGGTGAGGCTCCCTGGGCATCGGCGGTCCCTAACACGGCGAGTCCCTCCCTCTCCGTTCATCAGTCACCAGCCCCCCTTTGACTCCAGAGTTCCCCTGCACGGCGGTGGCGAGCTGCCCCAGAGCAGGCACCCTCGACACCTTGCAGGCCCAAATTTGGGGTCCCCTCATGACCTCTTTCTGTGCCCGCAGAGATCCATGACTAACCCAGCTTACCCTGTAAGTACCTGCTGGTGGGTGACGGTTTTCCCCTGAGGTGGGGGTTCAGTGGCCGAGGCGGTCCCGGGGCAGCTAAAAGACCCCGAGCCCCCCTCACCATTGCTTCCTTCCTCCATGCCCGGACACTGCCATCAACAGCCGAACCAGCTGCCCGTAAGTGGAAGGGTCTGTGGCCAGCTGGGGGGGTGTGAGAACTGGGGTCAGGGGAGGTTGGAGGGGTTGGACTCCCAGTCGCACTAACCCAGCACCTAGAGAAATGCCTGCACATAGTAGGTGTGCTGTAAATATTTGTTGGATATCGTCAAATAATATCACTTCTTCCTCACTTCACAGACCATGGAAGGACCCCCAGCCTTCAACCCGGTATGGTGTCATGCCAGGCTCGGGGCTCTGCGGTGGGCAGTTTGAGGGGAAGCAGGGACTGATGGTGGGGAGGGGGCGCTGATCCGCGGGGAACCCTGAGAGGGTGTCTGGAGCCGGAAGTGGGGGGAGGGTGGAGTTGGTGGTCAGGGCTGGGGAGGAATGGGGTTGGGGACATTTTGCAGGAGGAGTGGGGCCTCTCTCTGAAAAATTGTTCCTGCATCTGGCTTCTGGTAACCCGAGAGAGGATGAGACCCCATGCTCTCTTCCCACAGCCTGTGCCATACACGGGGAGACTGCATGGGGGGCTTACAGCCCGAAGGACCGTCATAGTCAAGGGCTATCTACCCCCCACGAGCAAGAGGTACAGAACCTGGACTGAGGTGGGAACCCCAGTCCCTCCCCCCTCAGACCCCTCCTCCTTTAGGAACCTAGGAGTCCAGGCCCCAGTCCCCTCCTCCCTTGGGGACCCATCTAATGCCCACCTCCCTCTCTGCCCCCAGCTTTGCTATCAACTTCAAGGTGGGATCCTCAGGGGACATAGCTCTGCACATTAATCCCCGCCTGGTCGAGGGCGCCGTGGTTCGGAACAGCCGTTTGAATGGCTCGTGGGGAGCCGAGGAGAGGACGATCTCCTACAACCCATTTGGTCCTGGACGGTACTTTGATGTGAGTCTGGGGTCTCTTTCCCCCTTCCGTCCAAAGCCTGTGTCCTGGCCCCAGCTTCATGCCTGCCCCGTCCCTGCAGTTGTCCATTCGCTGTGGCGTGGATCGCTTCAAGGTTTATGCCAATGGTCAGCACCTCTTCGACTTTCCCCATCGATTCTCGGCCTTCCAGAAGGTGGACATGCTGGAAATCCAGGGTGACGTCACCTTGTCCTATGTCCAGATCTGATCTGTTGCCGGGGCCGTAACTCTCGGGAAAACAGAAAGATCCCCTAGGACTCCCTTCTAACCCCTAATAAAATGTCAGAGGGTGTCTCATGAGTGTATGTGTCTCCTTTCACCTTCCTCACTATTCCTGCCTTCCTGGTTCAGTCATGCACTGTCCATTCAACCATCCAGTCATCTGCCCACCCATCCTCCCATCATCATAAATCTACTTAGGCCCCAAACACTAATTTAGGGCTTTATATGTATCAACTCCTTCAATCCTCACAACCCCAGGAAGTAGGAACTATTACATCCCTCTGTCACAGATGAGGACACAGGCAAAGAAAAAATAAAGCAAATTGCCCCAAAATGTCACAGGTCCCATAAATGACAGAACCAGGATTCGAATCCGGCTGGTCCTGCTCCCAGGCTGCACATTTAACCACAATATGGCCTGTCGTTCCGTCCATCCGTGTATCCATCTCTGCGCTCATCCACCTGAGCATCCGCCTCTCTCCATCCATCCGCCAACCAGACATCCAACCGTCTGCACACTCATCAGTCCATCTACTGACTTGTCTAACCATCCTTTCACCCAGTCCTTTATCCATCCATCCATCCGTCTCTCCACCCATCCATTTCATCATTCTCAGTCTCTCCAGAATCTCACCACTTACTTGTTGACCAGTTCACCTATGTGTCTATTTGTTCATCCATCCTGACGCCCAGCTTCTATGCATTCATTCATTTCTTCATCCCTGCACGTGTCCGTGCAGTTCTCTGCCTTCCATCACATCCATCCGTTTGTCCTCCATATGTCCATCGTCCCTTTGTTCAGCCATGCGTCCATTTCTCCGTTTTCTATATATCCAGTTATCCCTTCTCCTTATCTTTATCTATTCTTCCATCCATTTCCAACTCAAGTTGGAAAGTTATCCGTTTATTTACCTCTTTGTCTCTCCATCTGTCCACCTGCCATCCATTCAACCGTCCTTTCAAGTCAGTCTTACTGATTTAATCATTCACTCATTTATTTATATTTTCATTTATCCATCCTTTCACTGCTTTATTTATTCACCTTTGTACTCACTTATTCCCTCACTTACTCACCTGTTGGTTCACTTATCTACAATTCGGTCATTTGTCAGTGTCGATTCATGTGCTTATTCGTTCTTCTATTTATTGTTGCATTCCTTCATCTAGTATCATTCTCAAACTTAGCTACACACTACAATCACCTAGTGAGCTCCTAAAAAATATTGACACCTGGCCCCAACCCAGATCGTTAGTAGGTTAAACCATAGAAAAATGTCATTTTTGTAGGTAGGTCAAAGGTGATTAAACATCAATTTCTTGTGTTTTAGCCTAGTAAATCAGTAGTGGAACCTGAGCATTAATATTTTTATTAAACTCTCCAGATGATTGTAAAGGTTTGGGAAGCACTGATTCAAGGATGTTCTGTGGGACCTTAAATCCTGGATGGATGCTGAGGAGGTGGGAAAGGTGGAGGGCAAACCTGGGGCAGTCTCCAGTCTAGGGCGTTCTTTCCTCCCTTCTGGACCACATGTAGGGAGGTGACTCCTCCCCTCTGCACCCCTCCGTCACTGGACAGTCACTGCCCAGGGATGGCAGTGAAGAAACACCATCAGTTGCAGAGCCTGCAGGGGCTTGGGAAGGGGAGGTGGAGTCTGGAGCTCTTCCTGGAGGTTGAGACCCCAAAGTACCTAGAAAGGTCACATATTATTTTTCTGTCGCTGCTGTGACCAATCACCACAAATTTAGCAGCTTAAGACAACATGCATTTATCATCCCACAGTTCTGTATATAGAGTGAGGCTCAGCTGTGTCCTCTGCTCACAGGCCGAGCAAGGTCTTGGCAGGGCTGTGTTCCGGAGACCGAGGGGATGAATCTGCTTCCAAGTGCATTCAGGTTGACAGAATTCAGTTCCTCGCGGCTGAACAGCTGAACAGACTGAGGCTCCCGTTTCCTTGCTGGCTGGTGCCTCTCTCAGCTCCTCAAGGCCCTCACACGCCTTATCACCCTGCTCCTCCTTCTTCAAAACTTCCCTCACTTCAAACCTCTCTAACTTTCCCTTCTGCCCCATCTCTTCCGACTCCAGCTCTATCTTGGGCCCATCCAGATAACCCAGAATAATGCCCCTGTTTTAAGGCCCATAATCTCAATCACATCTGCAAAGTCCCTTTTGCCAGGTAGTGTAACATATTCACAGGTTTCAGGGAGTAGGGCGCAGACCTCCTTGGGGAGCCATTCTGCCTGCCACAGATCAGTAGGAGACAGTCCCCACAGGGTCTGGCAGGCCACGCTGAGGAGCTTGGATTTTGTCCTGAAGGCTGTGGACGGCCGGGAAAGCCAAGGGCCATGGTTAGATGTGAGCTTTAGAAAGATCCCAACAATTAGAAATGGGCAAAAGATGTCAGTAGACATTTCTGCAATGAAGATATATAAATGGATAACAAGCACATGAAAAGACATTCCATGTCATTAGTCATTAAGAAAATGCAAATCATATCCACAATGACACCCACTTCACACCTATTAGGGTGGCCGTCATAAAAAAGACAATAATAAGTGTTGGTGAAGATGTGGAGAAACAGGAACCCTCAAACAGTTCCGGTGGGAATGTGAAATGGTGCAGCTGCTGGGAAAACGGTTTGGCTCTTCCTTAGAGGTTAACACAGAGTTATCATATGACCCAAGAATTTCACTCCTACGTATGTACCCAAGAACAATGAAAACACATGTCCACAAATAACCTTGTACACAAATGTTCATAGCAGCATTATTCATAACAGCCAAGATATGGAAACAACCCAGATATCCATCACTTACGAATGGATAAACATATACGTTCCATTCATATATGGCCATTCCATATGGAATATCATTCAGCCATAAAAAGGAATAAAGTACCGACACATGCTACAACACGTACAAACCATGAAAACACTGTGTTAAGTGAAAGAAGCCAGATACAAAAGGCCGCATACTGTATGATTCCATTTATATAAAATGTACAGATTGGCAAATCCATAGAGATAGAAAGTAGATTAGTGGTTCCCAGGGGCTGGGGGAAGGGAAAACGGGGAAGTGACTGCGAATGGGTATGGGGTTTCTTTTCGAGGTGATCAAAATATTCTTTTTTTTTTTTTCTTTTCTTAATTTTCTTTTGTCAATATACAATGAGGTTGATTATTGTGGCCCATTACCGAAACCCCCCTCCCTCCT